TGCTTTTGTTGCCTATATTTCTGGTATCAAATCCAAAAACTCATTGCCAGGACCAATGTCAGGAGTTTTCCCCTACGTTTTCTTCTAGGAGTTCTATGGTTTCAGGTCTTGCATTTAAGTCTTTAAACCATTTTGAGTTGATTTTTGTGAGTGGTGTAAGATAGTACTTTAGCTATTCAGGGTATTTTGTGGTTCCATACAAATTTTATGATTTTGTTTTTATTTTATTTAAAAAAAAACACCATTGGGGTGCCTGGGTGGCTCAGTCATTAAGTGTCTGCCTTCAGTACAGGTCATGATCCCAGGGCCCTGGGCTGGAGCCCCACATTGGGCTCCCTGCTCTGTGAGCCTGCTTCTCCCTCTCCCTCTGCCTGCTGTTCCCCCCCATTGTGGGTGCTCTCTTTCTCTCTCTCAAATAAATAAATAAAATCTTTTTAAAAAATCCACCATTAGAATTTTGGTAGAGATGCACCAAATCTGTAGATTTCTTTAGGTAATATGGGAATTTCAACAATATTAATTCTTCCAATCTATGAACACAGATATCTTTCCATTTATTTGTGTGTCTTCAACTTCTTTCATCAGTGTTTTTTAGTTTTCAGTGTATATATCTTCACCTACTTAGTTACATTTATTCCTAAGTATTTGATTGTTTTTGATGGTATCATAATGGGATTGTTTTTTTTTTAAGATTTTATTTATTAAAGAGAGAGAAAGACACAGAGCATGAGCAGTAGGGGAGGAGGCAGAGGGAAAGGAAGAAGCAGACTTCCTGCGGAGCAGGGAGCCTGAGGCAGGGCTCAATCCCAGGACCTTGGGATCATGACCAGAGCTGAAGGCAGACACTTAACCCACTGAGCCACCCAGGTGCCACAGGATTGTTTGCTTAATATCTGTTTTGGAAAGTTCTTTGTTAATATATGGAAATGCAACAGGTTTTTGTATGTTGACTTTCTATCCTCTGACTTTACCGAGTTTATTAGTTTTCAGAGTTTTTGGTGGAGTCTTTAGGGGTTTCTATATATAAGGTCATGTCATCTTTAGGGGTGCCTGGGTGGCTCAGTAGGTTAAGCGTCTGACTCTTGGTTTCACCTCAGATCATAATTTTATGACTCCTGAGATCAAGACCCATGTCAGGCTCCACACTCAGCAGGGAATCTACTTGAGATTCTCTTCTCTCCTCTCCCTCTGCCCCTACCTCCCCCCTAAAAAATTGCTTTCCTTTTTCTGTATCTGTTGATATGATCACATAATTTTTACTTTGTTAATGTTGTGTATATCACATTTATTGATTTGGACCACTGTTACATTTGAGGGATCAATCCCACTTGATCATGGTGTATGATCCTTTTAATACGCCACTGGATTCTGTTTGTTAATATTTTGTTGAGATTTTTTACATCTATGCTCATCAGGGATACTGGCTTGTAAATTTCTTTTCTTGTAGTGTCCTTGGACTTTGATATCAGAGTAATGGAGGCCTCATAAAATGAGTCTGGGAGCATTCCTGCCTCTTCAATTTTTTGAAAGAGTTTGAGAAGGTATTAATTCTTTAAATGTTGGGTGGAATTCATCAGTGAGGCCATTCAGTCCTGGGATTTTCTTTGTTGGGAGTTTTTTGATTAATGATTATCTTGTTGTTACTGGTCTATTCAGATTTTCTATTTCTTCTTCATTTAGTCTTGGTAAGTTGCATGTTTCTACAAATTTATCCATTTTTTTCTAAGTTATCCAATTTTTAGTGTATAATTGTTCATAGCAGTCTCTTATGACCCTTTGTATTTACGTGGTATCATTTGCAATGTCTCCTTTTCCATTTCTGATTTTATTTATCTCAGTCCTCTCTTTTTTTCTTACTCTAACTAAAGGTTTGTCAATTTTTTTTTATCTTTTCAATAAAACAACTCTCAGTTTTATTGATCTTTTCTACTGTTTTTCTAGACTCTATTTTATTTCTGCTCTGATGTATGTTTTTTCCCTCCTCCTTCTAACTTTTGGCTTAGTTTGTTCTTCTTTTTCTAGTTCCTTGAGGTATAAAGTTAGGTTGTTCATTTGAGATCTTTCTCTCTTCTTAATGGAGGCATTTATCACTATATCCCTTCTTAGAACTGCTTTTACTGCATGCCGTAAGTTTTGGTATGCTGTTTTTCCATTTTTATTTGTCTCAAGATATTTTCTGATTTCCCTTTCAATTTCTTCATTGGTCCACTGATCGTTCAGAAGTGTACTGTTTATTGTCGACACATTTGTGAACTTTCCAGTTTCCCTAGCTTCGTACCACTGTGGTTGGAAAAGATCCTTGACATAATTTCAGTCTTCTTAAATTTGCTAAGACGTGTTTTGTCACCTAACATATGATCTTTCCTGGGACTGTTCCATGTGTACTTGGGAAGAATGTGTATTCTGCTGCTGTCGGATGGAATGTTCTACAGATCTTTTAGGTCCATTTGGTCTAAAATGTAGTTCAAGTCCAATGTTTCCTTATTGATCTTGTGTCTGAACAATCTATCAATAATGGATAGATTGTTCAGAGTGGAGTACTGAATGCCCCTAAGAATCAACTTCTTATCACTAGCATTTTGCCTCTCTTCTGTGAACTCTCTCCAATTTTCTCCACGTCTTTTCCAAGCCCAGGGAATAACATGCATTCGAATGACAATGTATACAAAGTACATATGGCTTTTAAAAATCCCTGGGGGTTCTATTTCAGTTAATAGCAAATAAAGTAATTTGAACCATCATTTCCACTGAGAACAACTAGAAAAGCTGAGCAAAGTAAAACACAACAAAATCGTCTGCTTAATGGCACAAGATGCCATGGCAGCAAAAAGGGCCAGAATCTGGAGGAAGAAAGCCAAGAGGTGAGCCTGGCACTTGGTGAGCCATAGTTCCCCAAAAGGTACCTGAGAAGTTGAGCAGAGCATGTGGCAGACCCACAAAGACAGACTGAATGTGATGAAAACTGGAGTGCCGTCCTTCTGAGGAAGGCTATGCCAACACCTTAGGCTCTATGTTAGAACCCTAGAAAAAAAGACCAGCAGAAAACAGACTAATCCTCACAGGAACTGACTCCCATCTTTAAGTCACCTTTATTTCTGATTGGGTTATGGTGATCTGAAATTGCTAATGCCCCTAGTGCCTAGCCACTGATCAGATGTAAGCTAATCTGCTCTGAAGGACAAAAGCCTCATCCAGAACATCTCAATGATCTCTACACTTTTTCATTGCCCATGTCCATCACTCAGTAAAAAAAAAAAAAAAGTACAGAAGATAAACAATAAAGCTTCTAGAAGATAAACAGGAACTGGCTTCATGAATTTGGGGTAGACAAAGATCTTTATAAGAAGACATAAAAACTACTGATCAGAAAAGATCAATAAATTGGGTTAAAACCTTTTGTTTATCAAAAGATTCTATTTAAAAGTGAAAAGGCAAAAAAAAATCCTGTAGTAAATTATGTTGGAAAAAAAACCTGTAGCAAATTATGTTGAAACTAAAAAAAAAAGTGAAAAGGCATGTCACAAGGAGAGATGATATTTTGATCATATATAATTAGCAAAATACTCCTACCCAGAATACCTAATGAATACTTAAAAACAGTAAGAGAAAGGCAAACAACCCAATAGAAAAATGGGCAAGAGACTTGAACAGGTACTTCATAAAGGAACACACCAATGGCCAATAAATACATGGAAAGATGTTCAACCTTATTAGTCATCAGATAAATGCAAATTAAAACCACAATACAACACCACCACAAACCCAACAGAATGGCTATAATTCACAACTCCAATGGTGAGGACACAGAGCAACTAGAACTGTCATACACGAAAGGAGAGTATGTAAAGTGGTACCACTGTTTTTGTAAAACTGTTTGGCACTAACTCCTAAAGTTGAACCTATGCATGTCCTATGACCCAGCAATTTCACTCCTGGATATATTCCCAGCAAAAATGTATGTACAGATGCACCAAAAGACATATACAAAAATGTTCATAACAGTATTTTTCATACTAGCTCCAAATTAGAAACAATCTACATGTTCATCAACAATCAATGATAAATAAATGATGGTATATTCATACAGCCAGATTCTATATAGCAATGAAAACAGATGAACTCAAGCTACATGTGACAACATAGAAGAGTCGCACAAAAGATGTCAAGCCAAATAAACCAGATGCTAAAATATATATATTCTGTAGTCTCATTCATACAAAGTTCAAAAAACAGATAAAACTATTAAGTGTTATTAGAGGTCAGGAGTGTGATTACATCTAGAAAGAAGGGTTGGTAATTGGGTTATGGCATGTGGGGAACTGAAGACTTTGGTTTTTTTACCTTCTTGGTGTTCAGTGTTTATTTTGTGAAATTCATCGAGCACCCAAGATTTGTGTACTTTTCTATATGGATCTTAGACTTCAAAAAAATTTTTTAACACTTTCAAAGTTTCCCGACTTTGTACTGCCTATCCATTTGATCACTATGTCAACTTAAATTATGGCAGAAGTTTAACTTCTGGATTTTTAATTTCCACTGGGGAGCAGGTGAATCTACTAGAACAGAGTCTGCCCTGCAAGTGGTCCAGCTGAGACATGGCTCAGACTTGTCTTCCATTCAGCCAATAGGAATTCTCTTCCCCACATGGATTAACTGTCCAAGTTCTACTACCCTTCCTGACCACAGCCTGGTTCATTGTGTAAATTTAACTAATTCACTTACACAGGCTTATTTCCCTCAGACATAATGTTCTTAAGAGCCACATGAGTCTACTGGCCTGTGGGTTAGCCACTCTAATGACATAAAACATTCCTCTTGGTCAGAGTGCTGCTCGCCAGGACTACCTGTGATTGAATGATCATTGCCTCTAGCCCAAGAGACGACTGACTATACCTGTACCAAGCACACGTCTTCCTTACTCATCAGAATTCATTTACGGACAATAAGAGAACTTCATCATTGGTGTTTCACAAATACAGGGAAGCCACTGAAAAGGATACTTGTGGTCAAAGCTATACCACAGCCTGAAGAGCCATGCACTCTCCTGCTTTGTCCGGTTTCCTCTGGCAGAATCTGGACCGTCCTAAGAATGAACAAGAAAACAGATACTTAGTTGCAGAAAAGGGATTGAAATTGGGTGTGTGTGTATTGGGAGGAGGGGAAGCTTCTTTACCAACCAATAACTTTTAGAGATTCTGAGCTCAGAGTCATACACCCTATTTGACCAAAGTTTCAGATATACTAGGAGGTAATACCTTGAAAGAAACTGAGTAAATCCAAAAGGCAGACATATCAACCCTCGAAGTAAAAAGGCCTGTTTATGTCTGTGGGCAGATCAACTCAGTGCAGTACAAAATTTCTTTTGGCATTCTTACTGTAATTTTCTCCAAGTGCCTTTTAGCAGATTGATTACGCTAACATAGTCTTGATCCTAATGGCCCGAAACTGATCGATAGGGAATATTGAAGAAAGCCTCTATAAAACCAACTTCCCAAGTCTCCCCAAAGCTGGCCTGGGAAAGTCACGCTTGACCGTTCCCTGACGGATCAGCCCCGGGCTCGTGGTCGTCCTTAACGGAGACATCTACACTGCCTTCCAGCTGGGTCAGTGACTTGTTGCCCTGACAGCCTTAGGATGATGGGGGCAGCAAGCAAGGGAAATGGGGCCGCAACTATTTCTATTATTTTAAAGGTTATTTATTTATTTGAGAGAGAAAAAGAGAGAGCACATGAGTGGGAGGGGCACAGGGAGGGGGAGGGAGAGAATCTCAAGCAGACTTCATACTAGCATGGAGCCCGACATGGGGCTTGAGCTCATGACCCTGAGATCAGGACTGGAGCCGAAACCAAGAGTCAGGCAATCAACCAACCCTGCCAGCCAGGCAACCACGCACTTCTGTTATTTCAGCTGCCCTCGAGTGGTTACTCCTCTCGTCCCTTTCCAACTCAAACATCCCTGTCATTTAATTTGCAAAATGACTTGCAATATCGAACATTCATTTGAGGCTTGGGCCATCTGCTGTGTGCAAATATTACTATTCAAGGGCAGACTAACTACGGCCATGGGAGGCCACTGCTGGCATTCTGTGTCATTAGGTGACAAGCTCTGGAAGTAGGGACCGCTTGGGAGGTACAGCCATCTTTGTTGTCACCCCTGGAACGTTACAGGGAGAGGCAACTCTAAGGCAGCTGACAACAGCCAAACACACGATGAGCCACAATTCCAGAAGCTCTACGTTGCAGCGCATGTGAGCTCCCCCTGTGACTGAGATAGTATGGGTCAGAGATCTCTGAGAAGGGAGAGCACGAGGACAAGCCAAGGGAGGGAAATCAGCAAGCACTATTTAATTTCCTAATGTTTCCCATAACAAAGGTTATTTTTTTAGAAAAAGAGTCCCTAGGGGACCTGAAGAATGTTTAGGGACACATGTGGAAATGGCTTGGTTAAATGAGCCCTTCTGGAGATGAGGAAATTTAAAAAAGAGAGAGAGAGAGAGAGCGAGAGAGAGAGCGAGCGCATTCCCAGAAACCAACTATATTTCCCATTTTTAGAAATCATGTAGAAGAAAGAAGGCAGAGAAATGTTTCCATTTGCAGATCATGGTCATTCCTTCAGGTAATTAGGTGCTGGCCTAATGACAACTCAAGGGAGGTTTCAGAATGCCGCTCAACTGACTGGGAAAAAATTAAATGGTTTTTTATAAAGTGATAGGCTCTAAGCTCGTGGTTCTAAACGCCTGCAGAATCAAACTAAAGAAGAGACTAACACAGAGACATACACGATCAGGAAGGGTACCATAAGCCAACAGGCACAAGACAAGTCCCCCCGAGTCAGGTGCATCCGCCCCTCCCCTAAAACAGCAATAAAAACGACAAACCCTGCCTCTGTCCTCCTAAGCTCCGTCAAACCACAATGGGGTGTCATCACCTGGAACGCCTCCGTTCCTACCACCTCACCCCTACGAAGCTACAGGAGACTTCAATAAGCCCCCAGAAGGACCATTACCGTGAGGAAAGCAAAGGAATGTCTCTTTTCGAAGGCAAACTAACAGAAGGTCTTCACGGGCGACAGAGAGCTATACCTGTGCTCCAAAAATAAGATTAAGGGGCCTTAGAAAGGTAGGAAACAAAAAGACTCTGCCCAAAGGTTACCAGGGGTAAATTTTGAGCAAATAAAAAGTGTAGTTTCATAGCAGGGGTGCTAAACAACTTCTTATTCTAAGAGATGGTGCCAGAAGCAGGACTAGGTACAGGAAGAACATAGGTAAACCCGCATATGGTGGCTTTGGAGAAATCAGGGAGTGTCTGTGGAATGGGACTAATTTTTTAAGCTGGCCCAGAAAACAACCAATAGCTGTTGGCAAATGGGATCTGGGGGCCCCCTTCTTGCTCCAAGCAGTCTAGGGCTGAGCAGGGATCAGTGTGGGTGCAGGCAGATCCTGTAATAGGCAGCCCCCTCCCCAGGCTGCGTGTATAGAACAACTTGCCTTGCATTTCCATTCAAGCGCTGCCTGCAGAAAAGGTGGGGACCCTGCCCCCCCAAACCTGCATTCCTATAGGAGGGTTTTATGCCCCAGCCCAGGATGCTTTTAGAACCTGAAGCATCCTTTCAGATGGTCACCTTCTTCCACCTACAACAGCTACCTGGCTGATCCCTATCCATTTTTCGAGGCTGGGTCCAAGGCTGGCTTCTCTGAGAATGTTTCAAAGACAACAGAACACACCAACATGTATAGATATGAATATCACAGGCTTTCTCAACAAACGACATGGGTCCAGATCCTAGCTCTACTCCTGGCTGTGCTACTGTCTTGCTGTATGACTCTGGGCAAGTTTAAATTGACGTGTAACTGACATCCGACATTGGGTCAATTTATAGTGTACAGATGTGTTGGTTTGATACGTTCATCTGTTGCAGGATTACCATGTTAGCATGAGCTGCCCTCTGTGCCCTTTCACATAATTCTCATTTCCGTTTGTCCATGAGAACAACTAAGACCTACTCTCTCAGCAACTTTGCAGTTTATAAGAGTACTGCGGACTATACTCACTACGGTGTGCATTAAATCTCCAGAACTTATTAGCCACAGGACTGTACCCTTAAACATTTCCCCAACTCTCCCAACCCCCAGCTCCTGGTCACCCCCATTCTACACTCTGTTCTTATGAGTAACACAAGGGATTTTTAAACTTTTTGTTGACATTATTAATAGAGAAACCCCTTTAAGCAAATATCACTGACTCTCCTTATCCCCATTTTTCGAGGATGTAACAATGAGTGTATATATATTTGTTGCATTCATTAAGCACCTAAAGGTGTGCCAGGCACCATGCTGGATGCCAGAAACACAAAGAAGAATGACATTAGCACTTGCTTCTCCAAGAGCCCTTTTCCAGAGGGGAAGACACACATATGGTGACAAATGCGATGAAGAAAAAGAAGGCAGATTAAAAAACTGAGGAGTGACAAAGGTCCTATTTTTGAAATTTTTTTTCTAGAACTAATAAATAATGATTTCTGGACAGAGTTATATTTATTTCCATTCTTATTTTTAAAAGATACAAATTTTCCAAGTTAAGATCATTACAGTAATGAGAACAGCTTATGGTTTTTTTCAGAGATGGAACAGAATACTTCCCTTCTCCCCCCACCCCCCACCACAAAGATGTCTATGTCCTAACCCCAGGAGCCCGTATGTTATGCTATATAGCCAAAGGGGCTTTGGAGATGGGCTTAAGGTATTCCAGGGGGCCGATGCAATCACACAGGCCCTTAAAAGTAGACAAGGGCAAAAGAGTCAGAGAGTTGCAGTGGAAGAAAAGGCAGGAAAGCTACAAAGTGTGATAAGGACTTGCCCCGCTATTGCTGACTTTGAAGAGAGAGGGGGCCATGAACCAGCACATGCAGGTGCTGCTAGGATGGGATCTTGACCCAGGGCCAATGGTCCTAGCAAGGAAATGGGGCTTTAGTCCTACAACCACATAACTGAATTCTACCAGCAACCGGAATGACCCTGGCAGTGGGTTCTCCCCCAGAGTCCAACCCCGCCGACACCTTAATTTCGGCCTTGAAACAGAGAAACCAGCGGAGCCCGCCAAACTTTTAACCTACAGAATATAAGACCAGTGTCTTAAGCCCCTGAGTCTGCGGGAATTTATTGCAGTGGCCTTAGAAATCCAATGCAGAGCAAAAAAGCAAGGAAGTGATGTGACCCAATTTGGGCCTTTCTTTTTCTTGTCCCTGGGATGGTGGAGCCAACGACTCTCACAAGGGAGTAATAACAGGTTTTAAAAACAGGGAATTGAGAGCTACACAATGACCACTCCAGGGTTTTTCAAAATAGGAATGGGCACATGACCCTCCTGGGAACCCTGTTAAAATGCGGGTTCAGAGTCAGTGGGTCTAGGTGGGGCCTGATGGTCAGCATTTTAATAAGCTCTCTGGGGATACCCAGGCTTCTGGTCCACGGGGACACTCGGAGCAGCAAGGACAGATCTGCGGACCTCACCTTTGGCACTCTCCACCCTTACCGTCCCCTTCATCACACTGTCACCACACCCTTAAGAATGGAGGTTCATGTGCATGGTCTGCAGATGTATCCCAAGGGTCTGAAAGATTGTCCGGAACATAACAGGTGCTCAGTAAGTATTTGTCAAATGCATGACTAAATTAATGTGAATTCTGCACTTCTAAGAAAAAAAAAAGCAAGGCCAAAAGGGAAGTCTGGGACCAAGGGGTGGGGGTGGGGGTGGGGGAATGGGGTGAGGGATCAGAAGAACAAAAAAGAAAAGCATGGTGTTGGTAGGGACAAAGAGGAGGAATTTGAGAAAAGGCCCTTCCGCAACTGTCTGAAGTCAAAGATTTAAGTAACTGGGTATCAGGTTTCAGCCTAAAGGAAAACTGGGGAAGGACCCAGAAAGCTACATGTCAATGTGACTATAAGCAGCCGATTTTCTGTGTGCTCGTGTACACTTGTGAGGGCATGCACACGCGCACCACAAGCCAGTAGTTCCCTTTCCTCCACACGCCACTCATATCCTGCTTGTGGCCTGGTCCTGCTGAGATGATAAAGCTAGGATAAATTCGAATTCATGCTCCTAGCTACTTCAAAGCAGCCCCATCAATGCATGCTCTTCTGTTAACTTGGTGAAGGAAGTAAATGAGGTCTCTGTCTGGCATGAAAAGGTCCCCTCGAATGGGGTGGGAGGTCACCCCCAAGCCCAGGCAGCTTGCCTCCAGCTGGGCTTTTGTTTTGGTTGCAGAGTCACCAAGACCTCTGGAGAAACAAAGCAACTGAGGTTTTTTTGTTTTGTTTTGTTCTAATGAGTCAAACTTGCCAGGGACATGAAGCAGAAGTCTGCCCACAATATTCTTATGCTTCCCTCACACAAAGCCAGAAGTTCTAGCCAAAAGCTCCTTTCCTTCTCCCACATGAGCTAATATTCTGTAGTTCTGTAGCCAGAACTCTTGGGCTTCTAGAACCAGTGAGGAAAATCACGTTGTCCTAAGAAATTCATTTCCATCAAAATGTCACTTTCCTCTTTGTTTTTAGGAAGATCATTTAGATAATGAGGTAACGAGAACTGCCCTTTCTTTTCTGATGGGGAACAAACATCTGGACTTTCCCCATTTATGACTGCAGTTTCATGACATCACTAAGCGTGTGACCTGGATCCATTTCAGGGGAAACTGCAAGAACCCAGGATTTTACCCAAAAATGAGAAGCCCATTTATTTCTCTGTTTTATTGTTGCTCATGACCACTGAGTGCTCCCAGCCCGGTTGTTAGTGGCTCACTGGACTGAGAAGGTCAGGTCAGGAGGTCTGAGAGATATAAGGCCTGTTAAGTACAAGGACATGAGTCCTATTTAAGAAGGTGCCCTGGGAAACCAAGCTTGAAGTCGCCTTTTTTCCCCCCAGTCTGACAGCAATCTTGAAAGACTTCCACAACGCCAGTGGAATGGATTCTGAGGGCCCTCCGCATGACTATGTTTGAGGCTCGGAAGGAGGGAGGTTAAGGGAAAGCCATGACACCAGCTCCTGGCTAGGGCGGGCCACCGGGTGCCACTGGGAGTCCAGCAGAAGTCACCACCAAGGGCACATTCACAACTGTCCCATCGAGGACAATGAAGACCCAGGCCCACCTAGGGAGGTTTCTGAAACACACACTGCCTGGGGCAGGGAGCAGTCACTGCCCACAGTAAATGTACTGCCCCAACCCTTAACACTCAGAACCCACTGCTTTCTCCAACATTTCCATGGAACAGTGACAGCAAGCTTGTGACTTAGTTATAAGCCCAGTGTCTCCATGTGAAGTTCTTATGAGATGGAAGGTGAGTTCGGCTACAGGAAAGCAACCAAACCATTTCATGCTTTTCCTTTCACAGATGCTTAAATCCAGAGGCAGGAGCAATGAAAAACAAACAACACAAGGGCTGGGGGTGTCTGACGAGTCTGGAACCAACAAGATGAAATCTGTCCAAACCCTGGCTATCCAGCTGGAATTAGCCTGTTTTCTTACAAAATTCATCTGGACCAGCTGTGGTCCTGGGGAGGAAGCTTTGGAGCAGGCCATTTGTATCCTTCCAGAGCCCTTCTTCTCCTTCCAGTAAAAGAAAGACACTTCACCCAGGTTTCCTCAGGGTGAGTTTCAAGATCTCCCTGTTAGACTCTAAATTAGCTTCCAGGTACACAATTCCCAAACCCTTGGTTTCTAAACTCCTTAATCCAAGATAGGGTCCAATGGCAACTTTTCAAGAAGAATTTCTCTGGAGCACCATTCAAGTGGGTGTCCTATCATTCCCCATGAAGCTCACTGAAAACTCTTCCTAAAATGTCCCGCCCTTTCAGAGGTTGTGGCTTTGATACCCTGAATGGGCACTGCCACCAAGACATGACCACCCTCAAAGAGAAAGAAATCAGGAAAAGCCACAGCGGCACTCCCAGGCCCCACAGGGCACCACCGTAGGCAACACTTGTTTAATGGGCTTCAAGGGCTGGAGTCATTTAGAAGGTCCTCTGGCGTCTGAAATATAGAGAGTAGGTTTAGGATGGCGTGCGATTCCACTGACTGGAGAGAAAGCAACACCCGATATGGTCACAGACAGAGCATGCGTGTGGTTGGGTAAGGCTTTCTGCCACGCTGCACAAAAGAGTTCTGGACCCGGTGGGGAGGGGGGCATTGGTAACATTTTGGTAACACGTTTTTGCTCTTAGCATAGCCTCTCTCTACCTAGCCCTGCCAGCCCAGGAAACGCCGGCCCTGGGAGGAAGCAAACCCCGGGGACACAGCAAGGGTCCTGTGGCAGCCCGCACTCACGTCTGCCACTTCGCTGATGCTCTTCCCATGAAGAGGTTATGATCTCTCTCCCCTCCCGTTGCATCTGGGCTGGCTTGAGCAACTCAAGTGCGACCACCAGTGAGTCCCAGAGGTGACCAGAAGGTCCTGAGACCTTTAGGATCAGGTCAGAAAAGGCGGTGCCCAGCTGCGGGAACCCTGAGTCATCGGGGAAGGGGCCCAGTGCCCCCAGGCCACGTGCAGGCACCATGTGTGGGCACTGCAGTCGGCTGTCCTCCTCTTCGGGTCCTCCCAGCCCAGGCGCCAGACAGATGAGCGAACGAGTCTCTGGCCGATTCTGGCCCCCAGCTTCCTGCTCAAGCAAGGACAAGCTGCCCCTGTTATGCCCTTTCCAAAGTGCCGACTAGAGCATCCGTGAGTGAAAGAAACTGTTGCTCCCTTTCCTCTGCGTGATGCAGCTGGTTACGTAGCAACAGTAACTGGAACAGATGGCCAAACCGCAGGCCAGGACGTTCCTCTCGGCCACATGGACTCTTTCAGGATTCTCCGTGGCAGCGGGGACATGTCCGTGCTCGTCACACTCAATGTTGCCACGGGGCTCCTCTGATCCCAGCCTCGACAGCTTCCCTCCCCGGCATGCTGTCCCAGGCTGTCACTGCTGCCACCACCCTGCCTAAGCCCTAATGGTCCACCTGGCGGTGACCTTCTGTCCTTGGCGGTCGGGGTGAGGGCCCCTGCTCAGCCATTCCTGGGCTTGTGGGGAACTCAGCAGGAGAGGATCCCGGGCCTGGAGGAGCGGGAGGGCCTGAAATCACCCACGTCCTTCCTCTCCTCCTCAGATTCCCTGGGCTGGAGAGTCAGACCCCATCCCCCGCCTTCCCCTGCCTGGGCACTACAGACAGACTCTGACCCGGGGACAGTGAGCCAGTCACCAGTGTACCCAGTCTATCCATTCTCAGAAGGCAGGCAGGCAGTCAGGGTCTTAGCTGGAATGCTCTTCCTGGCTGGCATACCCCCTCCATACGGTGTTTTAAAAATGCCAACCCTAGGGTCTAACCCCGGCTTCATCACTTTCTAATCCTCTATTAATGACTCACTGAGACTCTCAAACTTCAGCTTCTAATCTGCAAAATGGGGACAACAGGACCTCCCTCATAAGGCTGCCATCAAGGTCATGGTGAGGAAATCCATGTAAAGAGAACCCGGCCTATAGTAAGTGCTCACTACATTGTAGCTCTTTAGAACAGTGTCTTCCCTTGAAGAAGCACCTCTTGTGACTTACCCCTTGTAAGACTTGAAAGCTGTCGTTGTTGGGTGGTGGGTCTTGATCTGGGTCAACACCAACTCTGTAAGTCACCAGGGAGAGAGACAAGAAGAAAAAGGGAAAGCATTAGCTTGGACCACGGCAGCCATGCTGGCTGGAAGTAGCCAAGAGGCCGGCCATCTTCCGGAAGCGGAAGGAGTAGTTAGCTAGAAGAGGAAGGCTATCATGCAAAAGTCGGGAGAAAGAGGTCATGTTCCATGTCAGATCCCGGGGGCAGGAGAGGCAAGTGGTACTATGTGCTTATAGCCTACATGAGGCCACTGGGGAAGGGCACCCAACTGTCCCTCTGTCTTCCTGCACCAGAGGGTCCGTTATCCAAACATGGGGCTCATTGCCCCATGCCTTTTCCCTTCTGCTGCTCCCTCAGGTCTGCCCTGACCTGCTTTCCATTCCCTAAATTTCTGTTCCACCATTTTTCATACATCCAGGGTGGTGCCGGAAGAATTTATAGTGAACATCTATATATCTACCACGGAGACTCTACTGTTAACATACTGCTAGAGTTTCTTTATTGCATTCTCTCCACTTCTCTATCATCCATCTTAATTTTTAGATGCATTCAAATAAAGTTGCAGACATCAGTACACGTCCCCTAAATACTTGGGCATACATTTCATTAATGTCTTATCCTGGTGCCCCCACGTCCTCCCACAGCTGAGATGACCTGAGAAGTGACTCTTTTAAGATCAACAACTGAAGACAGAAAGAAAAAGCAAAGTGGCAAAATCCACTTACAACAGATCCCATGCTTTGACTAGGGTAGTCATCTTGGCTTAGTAACACACCAGCTGTTGTCTTGTGCACCTGTTAATTCTTCATCCCTGTACCTTCCTCACCCTGAGGCGGAGGACTGTGACCTCGATCACATGGGGAGGGTGGAGAAAACAAAGAGGACAGGAAAATTCTCTGCCTTCCCATGCTCCCTCCAGTGTTGCAAAGAACTATAAACCAAGAACATGGTTTCTGGCAGGTCTGACTCAAGCTTGAAGGGAGGTGCTGAATAGCTTCACCCAAGGGTCTTGGCAGTCCAGTACTGGGGTACTGGCTCCAGTGAGTGGACAGCAGACTACAAAAACCCACGTGTGTGCACCTTACTTATCTTCCTCTCCCTCCCTCTTTCCTACCTATGATGCCCAGGTTATTTCTTGAAAATGAAAACAGAAGACAACAGAGATGTGCCCACCTCTGAAAGCCAACGTCTACCCTGTCTTAGCACAGCTCTGTTAAGCACTAACCCGAGGTGTGTGTCCCTGGAAAGGGGGAACTATGGAGGGAAAGGGAACAGAGAGCCCGTATGTTGCTGAAGGTGACGTTTAAAACCACAAGATGAATTCATGTATTCGGCAAATCTTTACTGAGTGCCCGTGACACCAGGTTCTGCTCTATTTAAACTCTAGGGTACCTGACACCAGATTTCCTACCTACAGGCCTGGGCTTTGGTAGAATTTTTGCAGTGAGTTCGATGGACTTTGCTATGTGTCTAGGGGCTGCTTTGAGGCTGGAGAGTCTGAGATTTGGAGGCTTGTCCTCCTAACTGGATGTTATTTGAGGACTTTTGAACAACAAGTCTCACAGAGATTTTCTGACACGAGACCCATGCAATTCAGGGCTGTCCCCCAAAAGTTCTCCCGAGCCTCAGTGTACCTGATGTGTCTAGTGTATCAAAGTGTTAGCCGAGAGGTCACATACGGAATTCCTAGCTCCTGATTTTGAGACCTCACCTGTTTCAGACACTCTTAACACACAATCCCCCAGAGAAGAGTCCTCTGTCTGGTAACTCGGTCTGCACTTGTGGTATCAACAGCTAGGAATCCAACGTTAGGCCCTGCTCTGTGGCCTACAGCAGCACAAAGCCACTTCACAGCAGACTTGTTTACTCAGATGAGCTCCCCAGTGCAGACTCAGAGGGGCGGAGTGCCGGTTACCCTGCTCTTTCTCCGACAGCCTCCCAGAATGCCAGGTGACACAGTACCTCTCAGCCTAACCACCAGCTCTGACCAGACTGTGGGGCAGGAGCAATGAGATTATCTGATCTGAAGGGTATGAGGCACAGTTTGGCCAAGAATGTGGCAGTCCAGGTCTGCCACTAATAATCTCTCCTTTCTATACTGTGAATTTTGAAATAGGTGTAATTAGCCTTCGTAAATGGCTTCCACGTCAGCAAAGATAAAACACGTTGACGTTACTGTCCTAGGTAAAATAGGAAGACCAGGAGTAGGAGAAAAGGTTGAGGACGCCCTGTATTACAGTAACGAAAATAAAACCGAATATAATAGAAGCTGCCGAATGAAATTTCGCCCCCTCTAGGCCTTTAACTAATGTCTATTAAAAGGAAAAAAACCTTGGTTAACAAGAATTAAATTCTGTTCACCAAGAACTATTTATGAAGACTAGGTTGTGACTATTTTCATTCAAGTTCCAGCAGTGTCGGTGGGACCCATCTATTTATCCTGGGCCCATGTGGTCAGGTCAGAATTCAACATAACAAAGCACAAAATGGTGAAATAACTTGATAACATCACAAAAGTAGGGCCACCCTGAACTCATCGCAAACTCGTGATGTTCAGTGTTTTTTTGTTCGGGGGAACTCGGGAATGATTCTAGATCCACGCTGTCCAACAGAACTTACTACAGCTTTCTAGATCTGCACTGTCCAATGTGCTAGTCACCAGCCACATGTGGCCAGCCCCTAAGCAGTTGAAAAGTGGCTTACAGGACTCCTGCTGCACTTTACATTTCGTTCAGTGTCACGCCAAGTGAGAAAATAGAGCAATCAAACTAATGTGCTCATTCTGGAATGAAAACATATAGAAAGAACATGAATAATTAACTTTCTGGTATGAGTGTAAGTACATTCTGACGAGCTGCCATCTAAAATGCCAGGAAATCCCAGGAATTTTAGAGGTGTTCTACTTTAACCGGTGATTTTTCAAAAATGTGAATGGCTGAGGCTCTAAATCATTGCAGGACTAGGAGACACATGCCTTTCTGTAAAACCTTGAACTCCAGATCATAGTCTGAATGCTCTCACGTCCCAAGTGTAATAACTTGCGCTGTGCCCAAAGGACCTTCCTTCCTGAAGGTGGGATATTTCAAAAGAAAGGGTTTCCTCTGTACCTTAAGTGCTACCTAAAGTCAGGCCTCCAAAAAGTGAATGTGTGTGTGTGTGTGTGTGTGTGTGTGTGTTTTAAACAGCAGAAAGAAAGTGTGAACCCAGGGATCTTAACAGCTTCCATTACTTATATACACATCGTTACGGCCCATTCGGAGCCCGGTGATTTCACAGCGTCCATGGCCGGTGATGAGCGGGGCTGTTCTCTCCACTGCCCTCAGAGAGTGACGTCCTTTCACAGTGGGAGGAACAGAGCTCAAGCCTACTGTGCCCTGATTTACGTACTGGCACTGAAAATCAGGTTGGGAAGAACACACGCTGATAAAGACGCAGAAAGGGCAAAGGAAACATTAAAGTCTTTTTTCTGCTTGCCCCACATCGCTCCCTCCCCGAAGCCTAATCGGATCATGAACTTGGGTGGACACTGAGAACCTAACTGCATTACCAGAGTCTTTATCTTTTGGGTTTCTAAAAAATAAAACAAAACTGCTTTTGTATCTTCAGATTCCCCATAAGGTACGAGTACACACTTACATACTTTAAAAACTACTCAAAAGCACTGGTACTTCATTCAGATGGTGTAAGCCCTACCCCAGTCATGGCAGACATACCAAATCCTAATTCTCTTCATGAGTGAACAGCCTTGTTTTACTAAGACTTTGTGGAAGATGTGTCTGTGGCTCTGAGAATGGACTGCTCTGGCCACTAAGCTCAGTTGTGTAAGAGGGGAGACCGTTGCCAACCCCGGCTTTGGTGGGGACACACACTGCCTAGTATGCAGGGACAGAGAACGGAACCTCAGGAACACCGAGCCAGCAAGCAACCCAGAGACAGGGTGGAAAAGGGGTTAGACTTGACCCGACCTCTTGCCCCTTGGCTGAAAGGAGCAGAGGGTGGGTGCACACAGGAAGGAAGAAAGAGACAAAACGGCATCAAGAGAAACACATCAGGTTAGAAGGAGGAGAAAAGCCAGGCGCAGTTAATTTGTTTCTGAGGATTTCTTCATGTCACCTGAAGTACTGCCGGCGCAGTTCGTTCTGGTCCTCTTCGGACGGCTCCTCGACGCCAACTCTGGGCAGCAGCAGAAGGGAACATGAGTGTGATGTGGGGAGCACAAGGGAGCCAGGAGCTCTGGGCACAGGACCCGGACCACGCCCATCAAGGAACAGGCGGACTCACTCTGAAGAGATATCCGTACCCTCTCTGAAACTGTACCCATTCTCGCAAACCCAGAGAGGCTGCTAAATTTAAATTTAAAGCAACAATGTTAGGAGCTAGGCCCAATGAGGATCAATTGGGAAGGAAGGGAAGCCTCTCAAAAGATCATGTAAGGAAACCAGAGGAATGCGTGCAGCTCGTGGAAAATGAATTTATACAAGTTTTCAGGAATTCACCTGTTCCATAGCGCAAGGTACATCCACAGGAAAAACAGAAAACAAAGTTGTTACAAAACACGTATTTGAAGTGTTTACACATATTTTGACACATATTCGACAGAAAGAGCAAAAAGCACCATATTGTTGAAAACAGCAACAATACTTAAAAAGACAAAGATGGCTTTTTTTTTTTTTTTTTTTTGGACACAAGTAAACTGTGTTGTCCAAGGGTTCCTGAAGGTCAGGAACTCAACTTCTGCTCTTCTCTTTCTCTTGTGCCTTAGAGTTGACATGGTCCCTTTGTACCTGCTTTAACAATTTCTGGGTTGTATTCAGGGTACATCTGAACCTTGCCATCAGACTAAGAGCAGTGCTTCACGATCTTGGCACTATTGACATTTCAGGCCCTGGCCTTTATCTCCCAAGATACCAGTAGCAGCCCCCTACGCAGTTGAGGCAACTCAAAATTTTATCTCCAGACATTGCCAAATGGCCCCTGGGTGGCAAATTGCCCTCAATCGAGAACCACTGCAC